GGCTAGACCGGAGGATGTACACTGGTACAGATAGGAACTGGAAACACAGGAATCCAGGCTGGATGATCCCTTCAGGACCAGTGGTGAGAGTGGTGATACCAGGAGAGTGGAGGCAGGGTGGATTGGAAAGGGGGACCCTATTACAAGGATCTACATATAACCACCTCACTGGGGGACGGATAATAGAAAAGTGGGTGAAGGGAGACATCGGACAGTGTAAGATATGACAAAATAATAATTTATAAATTATTAAGGGTCTGTGAGGGAGGGGGGAGCAGGGAGAGAGGGGGAAAATGAGGAGGTGATACCAAAAGAATCGGTAGGTGTTAACTTTGGCAAGAAGGACATACGAAGTTGAGTCAGAGGATAGATTGCAGCTGTGATGTGAGAGAAAGTGTCAATCTGAGTGCCTGGTTCTAAAGAACGTTAAGTCTCTTTTCTTTCCCTCAAATCAAATACCACTCTAGGTCTAGCCTAATGGCGGCGAGCAGTATGGCAGTTAATCAGAAAAGGGATCAGAGCAGCTGGGCGGATTCTGCTTGATGTGATTGAACTATTGAATGGTATACATAGATATTAGCTACCAAGTGATAATAAATTAAAAGAAAAAAAACATAGATCCAGGAATGGGTTTGGGGCTCACATCAAATCCCAGCTCCAAGTTAAGAACAATTCGTTCTTACATTATGGCCGTGCTTGAACACAGAAGATATGGTGCTATAGCAAAATGCGGGGAAGAAATTAGATGGTGTCCCTGGGTAGCAGATAAAACAGCACACAGTCTTAAAGGCTTGTCTCCAAACAAGCAAGCCGTCATCTAAGTGAGATGTCAACTAAGTCCACGTGGAAGAAACACACATCATCAATCTCTGAAGGATTATAAATAATTTAATCTGAAATTGAAGGAGGGATTAGTAGCAGAGTCTAAATTGTGAGCATCTGGTTTGTAGAAGGCTATGCTAATGGTGGGAGCCCAAGATTCATGTGTGGGAACAACATAGGAAATAAGCCTCTGGTGGACCCTCTCTGTCCATCACTGAGGGATGGGAAGAAAGGGGTTTCTAAACAGAGGGCATTGGATAGATGAGTACAGAAGATCGAAGGCACAAATCGGACTTGAAAAGCTGGAAATGATCTGGTTTTCAACAGTTTCTGTATTTTTGTTTGCTCATATTAGGGTGTATCTCAGAGGTGTTATATCATTGGAGGTCACTGTGTTAGTCTGGGTACTTTAGAGAAACAAATCCACAGAAACTCATGTATAAGAGAGAGTTTTATATAAAGGTTAAGTGCACATCAAGAAAATATCCCAACCCAGTGCTGCCCAAGCCCACAAGTCCAACATTAATCCAAATGTCCGACACCAGTCCACAAAGTCCTCCTCCATCTCACAAACCACATGCCATGATGCCGACTGCAGGAGGAAAGCTGAATCAGTGAACGTGTAAGCATCTCAGCGCTGGCAGGGGTCTCCACATGACTGCTCCAGCACCCAGGGCTGCACTGGGGTCAGTCCATGCAGCGTCGCCTTGGGGACGTCTTGAAGGAAGTGAGCTTTGCAAGCTGAATCAGGGAACTGGCTAAGGCAGCTGCACCCTGGTCTGACCATCACAAAGCAAGAGACCTTCAACTAACCCCACATGTGTTTATTGGCCGGTTGGCACAATAAACTTTAACTATCTCAGTCACCCTCTTGAAATTGTTATATGTTTTCTGTTTTTTGGTCTATTAAACTCAGGACTGATGAACTCATAGGGACAGCAAGTAGAATAAGGGTTTGGGGGGTGGGGCTCAGGGGTGGTGGTGGTGGTGGTGGTAAAAGGGAGACAATGTCAAGGAGTCCAGGAAGAAAAAGAAGGTTAGGAAACTGATTGCGGTACAATTCTGCTCGTTGTGATTGAACTATAAATATACCAACTCCCAAATAATAATAAATAAATTTTAAAGAGAAAGAAAAGCTTGGCCAAAAAGCTGGCTGATAGACCCATGACACAGGTCGACCAGAGACAAAGAGAAGTAAAATGAGAACGGCAGTGTTTTGCAAACACAAGCCAAGTAAAACACACAAACAAGAAAAGTGGGTGAAGGGAGACGTCAGACAGTGCAAGACATGACAAAATAATAATAATTTATAAATTATTAAGAGTTCTTGAAAGAGGGGGTAGTGGGGAAGGAGGGATAAAAATGAGGAACTGATACCAAGGCCTCAAGTAGAAAGCAAATGTTTTGAGAATGTTGATGGAAACAAACGTACAAATGTGCTTGACACAATGGATGTATGTATGGATTGTGCTAAGAGTTGTACGAGCCCCCAATAACATGATTAAAAAAAACAAAATAAACAAAAAAACCCACACACAAACAAAAAATTTGCCTATGCCAATGTCACAGTGCAACAGAGACAAACTTCTAAAGAAGAATTTCCAGAAGCATTTTATTCCTAGTGAGAAGTGTCAACTAGTGGAAAATTGTAAAGACCCTCTTTGACATTTGATGAGGCTTGGAATCATATCAACCACTTGACTGAAGTCTGGCCTTTTCAACAAGCCCTGGTGGCCCAAATGGTTAAGCACTTGACTGCTGATAGAAGGATTGAACCTATGAGCAACCCAGCAGAGAAATCCCTGGTGGGCTGCTCCTCTTACCTGCGATGGCAGTCCAGACAAAGCAAGCCAGGGGGCAGTTCTGCTCTATCACATGGAGTCTCCATGAGTCTCCATTGACCTGAGGGCACCTAATATAGCTAATGGGCCTTTTCCAGAGAACAGTATTTAGACAAGGTGACAGAACAATGGTTTATTAGCAGCCTCTCCGTGGCGCAATCTCAGGTGGCTTCTGAGAGAAATAAGGGGAAGGATGGGCTCTGAAATCAGGGCCTCAGGCAAAATAAAATTCAGAGGTATAAATATTATCTTTGAAAAGCATTTAAATCTTACTTAAACTCGAACGTAAACCGTTAGTCCTGGGATTCAGCTGCAGGCACTGACTGCCGCTGAGTCAATTCCGACTCCCGGCACCCTGTAGGGTGGTTTCAAACTGCTGACTTTGTGATTAGCAGCTCAACAAGTAATGTCCCTTATGCAAATATAGTCCTGACTCTCCCGATCCTATTCCCCATTCAAACCAGACTCTTAACCCTGCCATCCCCCAGCAGCGGGACTTGATGTTTTCCTGGAGAAAGGCATGTACCTATGTTGGAATTCATGTATAAAATGGTGCTTGCTTTTGTTTTTCAACAAGTCATATGTTACAGTTGAGGCAATGAAGATGGTGAGAAGGAAGAAAAGCAGTTGGCTCTGAGACCTCACTGCATGGAGCATGGAAGTCACAGGGAATACTTAATGGTGGACTGAAGAAGGAGCCATTTCTCCTTTATAAGCATTACCTGCACTAACTCAGAATAGATGCTATTTTGGGTGGAGGGGATGAAAGTTCCATCTGCATGGCTCACAAAGAAAGGATTTCTGGTCAAGGTAGTAGCGATGGCCCAAACACAAGGTAGACTGGCCAATCTTTTTGACATCTCCCCCTTATCCTTCTAAATTCAGATTCACAATGATATAAAAACAAGTCACGCAGACCCCCAACACATACTTGGAGGTGCTGCATTATCAGCGACAGTGCAGTTATCTGCAATTCAGAGAAAAATGAGGTTTTATGTGCATGTCTGGATTTCCTCAAAGCACAGCAGGGCTTTATCCACAGGGTGTATTCAATAAATGCTTATTGAAAGTAGCCTGCTCTTCTTCCCGATCGGTGAGGTTTAATCTATTTCCAAATCGCAACGCCTGTTCATTTTCAGCCCCCCACCCTTTTTTTAAAAATTCATTTTGGGATGCGTTTTAGGAGTCTACATCAACCTTGATCTCAGGAAGAGAAAGCGGTTAAATGAAGCATGCGTATTCAACACATCAGTAGCCATTGATAAAATGTCATTTAATTTAATCATGTAAATTTACATGGTCAATGTACAAGAGCATCTCTTTCAAACCACAGGTTAACACACACTAAAGAGCAAGGCCGTTAGAGGAACAATGAACTTGGGAACCCTCTGCTGTCTGAAATAAAGCAAGGCGCTCTCCACCAGCCACTGCTGGATTCTGGTTTCCGCCCGCAGAAGGTACGTTCCCACGGAGAGAGCTCGCCTGCCCGGGGAGATCACCTGCTTTCTTTCTGGTTCTCTGCCGAGCTAGTGTGGTTGTCCGTTCTGAAACAACGTGTGTGTCAGCGTTAAGACAAAACGCAGGCGAGTGGAACTGATGGACGACTCGGTAGGCTCGCCTAGTTGAGCTCACTACAGAAGGTGGAAGCACGCTGGCTATCGTGGTCCTGTTCAGCTCCAGTGTCTGAACTACAACTGAAGAAAACCCCAAACCCAAACAAACAACGGTCTTGACTCCTTCCAACCAACAGACACCACGGCTAAAACGTCTTTTCCTTAAATCGAATGGATGTAAAAGCGAAAAGTGACAGCACTTCTCTAGGGCTGTTTTTGTTTTTCCTTTACAAACACGACAAAAACGAGGACCATGGTGCATGGGAGGGTTATGTATGCACGAACGTTCTAATTTATTCAAATTCAATTTGAATTTGGTCTGGAGCTACCTTGTATGAAACGTTAGCTTTCCTGATATTTAATAATGCTTTTTATGTTTGCATATAAGCTCAAAAAGTTAATGCAAAAGTACTATGTTTCTCATGGTTATCTTCAGGTATCATGTAAATGTCAGCGGTTATACGTAAAAGCCTGTTTTCCTATAATGCAGAGTCGTTGAGTAGAATGACCAGTGGAAGGGGAAGTAGTTCTCCGCTTTGACCTTGGGTGTGCCCTTGCCCTTTGCTGGGCTCCAGTTCTTTTCTCTATGAATCTGAGGGGTTAGACTAATTGACAAGCCAGGCTCCTTCCAAGCCTACCATTCCAAGATCCCAACAAACCCACTTCTTAATATAAAAAAATAACACTCTTTTGTAAAAGCTCACACAAACATAATACATGATCAAATATCAGAATGACTGGAGAAAAAAAGCAAAACATCTATGATTCCCTATCTGGGTTATCCTCTGCAGCAATTAGGCAATTCATTTGGCATTTGTTTGATTGTATAATTTAATGATAATATAAACAGCATAGTCTTGTTATTCTTTCTTTAAAAAAACTAAAGCAAAAATGATTTAAAGCTAACAAAAGCTACTGTGACATTAGTCTGACATTCAAAGTCTGTTTCTTAGCAAAACTGACCAAAGATAGTCTGATTTGATACAGAGTATATAATATAAAGATTTTTAGACCGCAAAATCTTCAAACATTATTTGAATTTAGCAAAACATAAGCAAAATTTTAATATCAAAGTGCTAAACAGTACTGCCTTAAAAGTCACTGCAAATGAACCATAAAATAACTGCACGGGAAGTGACATCTATTGTACAAAGGGTTGATAAAAAGACACATTATAAATATATATGTAACCTGCTATATATATGTATATATATACACATATACATACATATATATGTGTGTGTGTATATATATATATATATTTAAAATTTTTCTACTTGGTGTTTCCAAGTTGCTGTGAACATCCCATGTAAGTACTCTGTAACTCAGCTTTCAGGAGCTGGTGGTCTTGCAATAAATACAGGCAAAGCTATCACTAGATACCGTGCATACAAATGTTTATACAAATAAGGACACTATGCAACAAATCATCTCATAATAATATGGCATTAACAGTATAAACATACAAAAGGGAATACGAACACGGAATGTTGAAACGCAGCCCACTACTCCTCTCTAGTAGTCACATTTTTTTAAATAAGACTTTTTCTCCAAAATTTTTGTCTTTAACTGATAGAAAAAAATTAAAATTTATATATATATGTATATATATATAAAACCTTACAATCCCTGATGTTTACCCTGATGATCCAGTTTCTACTTTTCTGCATGCTCTCATCTAGGGATCAAATATTTGCCTGACCCACTGAATGCTCCGGCAGCTTCTGAATGTGTGAGTCAGCCAGTCGGCATAACTAGATCCAGCTTAGGGAACTCTGGTGAGGTTGACAAAATGCAACCCAAACAGTTGTGCACAACCCATCTTATCCATCAGAGTCCCCCCTCCGGACAGCTGGTCAGTCAGGGCAGGGATCTGGTTCCATCAAGATTGGCTTAAACGTCTTGACTGGACCATTCCTCAGAAGAGGTCTAGAAGGGCAGGGGGACAAAGCCTCTGCTAGAAAAATTAGCACGTGTCATTTGCTAACATGCCTGCCTCCTTTGTATTTACATATAAAATAAAGGAGAGTTAATAAACAAGACCTAGTAAGACAGCACTTTAAAAATTGCACTTGGATATGGAAGGGAACAGCCATAATTGTTTTGCTACGTCGGACTCGTAGGTAATCCCTCTTTTTTTTTTTTTTAACCATTTGTTAAAATAAAATATGGAAAAAAATTTAGAAACGGGAATTCCTGCCTTGTTTGCACCACATACGTGCCCTTGATACAAGAAGGATAGACTACAGGGATCAATCTCAAGACACACCAACCCTTGGCTGTTCTTGTTGTAAGTACAAAGCGACTCTTAATTATAGTCCCCAGAAAAGGGTTTTTAAAACAGTTATATTATCCTTTTGCTCTCCCCCCACCCCCTGCTGGGATAGCATCATCCAAAAGTGCTTTGTTAGCCATTTCTTAGAAAACCTTCATGAACTATTCCCCCCCCTCCTCACCCTCCGCCCAAAGCCTAAATATAAAACACAACCCCAACACAATACTCTGCAGCTTTCTGGCTTTAGGTTGTAAGGAAGAGCGCCAGAAGGGCAGAAAAACGTCTTGGTTTCCTCCAGGAGCTGTATCTTCTCTTAAGGAAGGACAGACATGATACGTGTCCAGACCTATCCCGCCCCTGCACGGTGAGCAGGTTCCAGCACACGAGGCGGTTCCCTGCTCCTGTGGTTTCTGCTCAGAAAGGCAGAGTGTCCAGGAAGAGCTTGTCGATGACAGACGGTGGAGGCACCAGGTCTTCCAGCTTCAGGTAGAAGATGCGCTGGAGACCCAGGGTGCAGATCTTGCGCAGTTCGACCAGGGCACGCAGGACCTTGGGCTCGGTGGGCTCCAGGGCCTGTCCCTTAGTCTGGTGGTCTTTTAAGCTGCTTGTGATCTTGTTGCATAGCTCCTCCACTCTCTTTGGTTCTTTTAACCCATGTCGTTCTGCAGAGGGATGGGGGAAAAAAGGCATGTTTAGGAGGCAGTTCCACCTGGACGGGCCTGAATCCAGGTCTGACCCTTAAGAGAGCAAGAGAATGTTGTACATCCAAGGGGGTCCCCCCCTCCTGGAGCAGGATCTTGATTTTCAGGCAGTACCTTGGCCTGTGGCACTTACGAGCTTGCTCGTCTTTTTCACAGGTGAGCTCAGTTTCCTGATCATGGAGATAATAACCATGCCTCATTCATGGTCCTCCGTTCCTGGCACCCAGTGACACCGGCTGAACGAGAGCATGGCTATTCGTTTGCACACATTCTCCGGATGAGAACTCACATCAGGAGATGAGCGAAGTTCTCTTCTAAAGGGTCCTGGAAACCACAGCCAGCTGGCCCACGAACTAATGACTGTGTCTTAGCAGACTCACTCGGTGGGGGCTGTGGGAGCTGCTGGCTAATGCAAGGGCTGCCCCAACATGCTCTGTGGATGTCTATTTGTGCATGATGTCGTCAGTCAGTTCTTCCCTCTCTAGGCTAAGCTATCGTGGATGGAGATTGGATTTAATAACCCCCAAGAGGTTTCAGAGTCAGGAGTAACCATGAAAAGACCCGGCAACACCTCCGTGTCCTGTGATTTGCAGGTGCATCATCTAACACAACCTAACACAGAACAAAGGGCATGAACTTGGAGGTCAGAAGACCACACCACGTGACCCAAACTCTCTAAGGCGCCATGTCCTCCGTGAGAAAATGGAGATGATCGGGTGGGACACAGACCAGGTCACTGGTTTCCTTCTTCATCCTTCTCCATGTGTCTCCATGTTATCCAGTAGATTCTAGGGGACAGTGAGGGTTAGGATCAAGCCGACCTCCGGGAGTTGCTGTAAACCTCAACTCAGAGGATGCCACGGACGCACCTGGCACTGTGTGCCCCTAAGACAGTGGCTGACACATGGCTAGTAGCAGGACCAAGCAGAAGGCAATAATAGTAATAATAATAATAAACGTCACTGCCATGAAGCCGATTCCAATTCAGACGGATCCGAGAGGGCAGAACTGTTTCTGTGGGTTTCTGTGACAGTAAATTTTTATGGGGAAAGACGCCTCATCTTTTCCCTGCTGAGTGGCTGGTAGGTTCAAACTGCTGGCCTTGCTGTTAACAGACCAATGTGTAACCTGCTAAGCCAGCGCATAGCTTTTCTCTTTCTCTCTCTCTCAAAGGCCAGGGTAGATCTGCCCCTGAGAGCTTCTGAGACTGCCACTTTAGGGAGTAGAACACCCTTTCTTCTGAGGAGCGGCTAGTAGTTTCAAACTGCCGACCTCGCAGTTAGCAACCCAACAAGTAAGCACTATGTCACCAGGCTCCTCGCTTTCTCTGGGGAACAGCTCATCATGCTAGGCACAGGCTGTCGGCAGTGGTTTATCTTTGCTGCATAGATCGTCCCAGGTCTCAGTCAGATAAAGCACCCAAGAAATCTCGTGAAGAAAACTCCTGTCTGCAGTGGTGTTCTATCTCAAGGTCCCCACCCCTTCCTTAAAAAAAAAAAAAAAGTAGATTGCACATCTGGTACATTTCAAGAGCTTTAAAATGTGCTTAGCTTCTGACCAAGAAATCCCACTCTTGGGAATTTAGCAAAGGAAAAGTTCAACGGAAGAATAAAACTGCATGCGTGAAGATATTTGATGCAGCCTGATCCATGACATAAAAACAAAACCCCAAGCAAAACAGACGCCAATCAAAAAAGCCTGGAAACAAAGAAAAAGTTGCAGAACCGAGACAACATTTCAGGAAATAAGGATCCATGGATGTCTTGTAGACATGGGAAAGGACACACAGGAAGACTATGCAGCAGCATGGGAAATTACTTGTACTACTGACTGAGGAGTAGAATGCTACATGTTATCTAAGCTGTGATTGTATCTATGTAAAAATTAGTTCTGCATATAGACAAGGATGAAAGGAAACGGACAAATGAAAATATTTGGGGGCAGAGGCTGTTGGTTAGCTTTTGCTCCTTTCTTTGAAAGTTTCCAGCTTGGGTTGTTGGCACAATAAACAATGATTAAATAGAACAAGCTGAAATCTGGACCCTGGTGCAGCCCTCTAGTTCTTTTTGTTTTAATGGTAAAAGGTACAGTGTAGCGATAATGCGATCCAACAATCTTCTTGTTAACACTAAATTCTATTAATATTGAGAAACAGCGACCTAGGCTCATAACCTAAGAGAGTGGCTTTTCCCAGAATACAAATCCATCCATGCATTTAAGCACCCCTGCCTTTCCGCTGACAACAAACACCAGAAGCTTCCATGTTTGTTATCAGGGTGAAGAATCTGAGTCTTGTGTTGGCTGGATTTCGGGAGGGGGTTGATTGCAGAAGCTTGTCACCCGACCTTCTCATGGCCAAACTCACAGAAGGTGCTTGGAGTTCTCCCTGCTCTCCAACCAGTTCTGACTGCTCAATAACTATGGCAACCATTATTTATTCAGGGAATTCAAGTGCAGATCGATACTGCCTGCCAGCTGGATCCAGCCTCGGCCTGGAATTCCTCGAGGAATTCAGAGACACTCCTGTCAGAAGCCAGAGGCACCTCCACCCTTCTTTGTTGTTCTGAACTGCTACTGGATTTGTGGCATCTTTTCTTTTTTCCAGAAAGGGCTGAGACAGAATTTGGTCTCCAGGCAAGCCGCTGCCAACAGTCAGCAAGATTTTCATAATGCCAGGGAGTCGCTAAGTGTCTAGGCCCTTCCCAGGAATTATTAAATTCTTTAAAACCCCAATCATTGACAGTTTAGTTTAAGGGACCCTCTTTCACGGCCCACCCTCCACCCACTTCCTTTTCGGCTTCTTGATGGAAATGGCTGTAGGACTGCTATACAAACAGAGAACCTTAACTTCTGGGGTGGGAGGGAGGAGATGCAACACGTGAACCTTCCTCCTCCGGAGAGATTATTACACAGAGAAGCTGGGAGTGCGCTCGCCAGGGAACAAGGCAAGCTTCTGGGGATTTGTTGTGTTGTGGTCTAAACACAATTTTATCCAATATTTCTGAATGTTGCCTCGATCATTGCGGATTTCAAGCTTTAACAGACAACTTCTAGGGATGGTTCGTGATGGATTCATGAGTCATGTTCAGAATGTATATGGCCGAGAAGGGCCATGAGTCATTTAGTTCAAATCCTGCCCAAGACAAGACCCTCTGCTACAGGATGACCACAGGGAGAGTCTAGCACCAGACAGGGAAGGGGATTCCTCATTCACACTCTTCATACAAATGCATCTAATAGCTTTTCATAGCATACTTTTACTTAGAGGATGCCATGTCGCCCTCTAAGCAATCCCATGAATTAGGCCGGGCAAAGCTGGTCTTTCTTTAATAAGCAAGAAGGCTAAGCAGGCCTCAGAAATTCAGTGACTTGCCCAAGGTTAAAATTTCTTTCACTCTGAGTCCTGCTATATTTGCATTTTACCAGGCCGCTTTCCATTTTCAACGGCTTCCAATTGTTGAAGGGTTCCTTCTTCTCCACAGATGATCTCAGCCTCCCTAGCACTCTCTCCAACTTCATATACACTCAGTTAATCATCACCCAGGTCATGAACCAATGAACTCTCCCAACAAATATTTAGTGAGCACCTATTCAGTGCCAAACAACACTACAGCCAGGGGGGTTAGAGCAGGGAACCAAAGAGACGCACAAGAGAACACACTCCCAACTTGTGTGTGGGGTCAAGACCTAAAAACACTTGGAGTGGTGCATCTCTTAGCTACCCATGCCATGGGCATCGCTGCTGAGAGAGAGAGGGAGTGAAAAGGAGAGTAAGAGAAGAAAGAGGAGGGGAGGAAGAGAGATGGAGTGGAAGAGCTAGTTGGGTCTCCACTCACAGTTTTCACTGGCCTCCGGTAGACTCTGACGCATAGCAACCCTATACACAAGAGAACTGCTCCAGTGGGCTTCCGAGAGGGGAATTTTTTATGGGAACAGAAAGCCTCATCTTTCTCTCATGGAGCAGATGGGGGTTTCCAGTGTGGTCAGCAGCCTGACGCATAACCCATGGTGGCACCAGGTTTGTGCTCATGGATTTCTTCTTCATTAGCCAAAGAGCCTCCCCATCTTTTAGATCTTAGGTCACATACTCTTCAAGGAAGTGTCCCTTGCTCTCTCCAACCTCAGCCATGTTCTCCTGTGGCACTCGATTCTTTCCCTTGCGGGATAGAACATGGTTTGTAATCATGGCTCTCCGTGGACTGGGGCCTGCTTCCTTGATGGAAATGCATGTGCCTGCCATTGTATCTCCAGCATCAAACCAAGCACGTGGCAGGCACCCAATGACGATTTCTTAAAGGAAATGGGAGCTTGGGGGTGGCCAAGGGCCTGTGCCAGCCTATTAAACATGTTCTAAATGTGTTGGTTGCCAGTAGAGCCCAGGTGGTGGGAGGTCACGTGTTGGGCTGCTAACTGCAAGGTCAGCAATTAGAACCAATGTGTCCCACAAGAGAAAGATGGGGCTTTCTACTCCCATGAAAAGCTATAGTCTCAGAAATGCACAGGGGCAGTTCTACCCTGTCCTATAGGTTTGCCATGAGTCAGCCTGGACTCTGTGGCAGTGAGTTTGGGTTTAGTGTTGGTTATCCAGAATAAATGTACAGGTTTGGAGTCATTGAGAAGCAAAGAACAGTGAAGACCTTGAGACAATCCGAAAGGAGCCATCAAACTTCCAAGAAGTCAGAAAAATGTGGCATTTTAATCCTGCATTTTCAAAAAAGGCCCTGGGTGGTAGGAATGGTTAATGCACTCAGCTGTTAAAGGTGGGAGGTTCAAGCCCCCATTTCCCCCCAGGGACACTTCAGAAGAAAGGGCTAACAATAAACTTCTGAAAAATCAACCACTAAAAACTTTATGGAGCACAGTTCTGGTCTGATCTATATAGGGCCGCCAAGCATCTGAAACACCTGTGTTTTCAGGCACTTTGACTGGATGGCAGGAGAATTAGACATTGCAAATCCTGC